ACGCCCTGGAGTCCCTTTTCCGATACTACAGCTACGGGCTGGAGAAGAAATTCCGGCCTGACATCTTTAAGGATTTCCAAGAAGAAACCATCAAGGATTACGAAGCCGGTGGGTGGTTCCTTCCGCCGCTCCCTGCCCCTTCCCCAGCCGTGCTCTGGGGTCGCTGTGGGAGTGGGGCGGAGCACGTGGGACCCCAGCTGCGTCGGGACCAAGCAGGCACGGGGCCTGGCGCTGGGAAGGGCACGGACGTAGGCTGGAGTGCATCCTCCAGGGCTTCTCCAAGGGCTTGCGGTGACCCTTGGGCTGAGCAGTTTCCCCGGCCCCGGCAGGCAGAGCTAGTCGCTGCCCCGGCCACGCCCCGTCTCCCAGAGCTGGTGACGTCCAGAAGGGACCCTTTCCCGGCGCGGCTGCACTCCCCGCCCCTGGTGGCCTCTGGGAAGCAGACAGCCCCCCATGCCTTGACGTCAGGGCACGCTCTTGGTGCTGGGCGGCCGCTGCGCCAGGCCTGAGGCCTGTTGAGGCTCCGCGCCCGCCGGGCTGGTGCCTCGTGGCTACAGGCTGGCAGTCCCGGCGTGTCGCAGGGAGCCCGGGCGGAGAGGGTGCTCGTGGGGCGGGGGACAGCTCTAGTGACTGGCGCCTGCTGTTTCCTAACAGGGCAGCTCTACGGGCTGGAAAAGTTTTGGGCCTTTTTAAAATATTCCAAAGCCAAAAACCTGGACATTGCTCGCAAGCTGCAGGAATACCTCAGCAAGTTCCGGCGCCTCGAGGACTTCCGAGTGGACGTGAGTAGGCGCCGGGGCTGGCCCCCGCTCTGCTCCTCGCCCCCTCCCCCCCACTCCTATCCCAGTATCTGGCCACTCCTCCCAGGGCGGGGCGGGGGCGGGGGGGCAGTTGAGAGGGATTTGGGCCTGGTTTAGATTTGCGGAGACAAAACCAATCCGCAGCGACACCCGCCGGCGTGTGGAGGTGCAGCTGGGTGGGGGACCAGAGGCCCCTGAACTGGGGGCTCTTCCCTTGTTACTGTCGCCATGGGAGTGGGGTGTCGCTTGGGTTTGCCCTCCGGCCACCCCCAAATTGCTTCCCTGGGGGAGAGGAGCAGGGCCCTTGTGCTCTTTGTAGCTGGCCTGTGGGTGGCTGAGGCTGGGGATGTGCTCCGTCCCGCAGGAGCAAGGTGGAGTTTTCGCCCCACCAGCCCGTGAGTCAGGGCTTGAGGCGCAGCTGAGCGGCAGTGCAGGAGAGTTTCAATGAACGTGGAGCTGGGGGGAGGGCGGAGGCTGAGCGGGGGGCGTGGGGGCGGTGGAGCTGGGCAGGGCAGGAGAACAGCCAGCGGTAGGTGAGCTCTGGAGGGACCGGTCTCCTGTGGGGGAGCCAGGAAGGCTCACCCTGCCCTTGAGCCTGGCTAGTTCCCCTCCGTAGCTGCCGGCTGGCGCCCCTGCCCTAGCTCCTGAGGGTTCCTCTCCCGGAGCTAATCCGCCGGGCTTAGGGATTAAGCACCTTGGCACGAGCTTTCCCCTAGGAGCCCCAAGCCGGTTCGAGCGGCTGCCTCCTTTGGTGAGGGGTCGG